ACCAGTAGTATTTTATGTGTGAAGATGACTATATCGAGGAGGCGGAGGCGGCGGAGAAGTGATGCTGGCACCGGGCATCCGGGCAGCGGCAGCGGAGCAGCAGCATCTCCGGGACCCCGGCTGCAGCGTCCCTGTGGCCCGCGGGCCAGCCGAGCGACGGAAGACCACGCGCCCCACGGGTAAGGTCCGCCCGGCAGCTCCCGCGCGCCCCCGGGACCGCTCGTGTGGTCTTTGAGGGTTCCGAGGCTCGTGGCGTCCCGGACATCCGGACAAGGGTGTTGGGACCCGGACAGCGAGTCCAGTCGCGCGGCGAGGCTGATGTCCGCGCCGGTGCCACTCCTTGTGCGTTCTCCGCTCCGCACTGACACTTTGACAGCACACGGGGATGGCTTTGTGTGTGTGTGTGAGTGTGTGTGCCTTGTGTGTGTGTGCGTGTGTGTGTGTGTGTGTGTGTGTGTGTGTGTGTGGCGCGCGCGCGGTTCAGAGCACTTTGCAAGGAGCGAGATGGGTCCCTTGTCGCGTGAACCGACGTCCTTCAGGAATCCAGGCTGGGATGGAGTGAATAGGATGCTCTTGGCTCGGCAGGAGACAGAGCTCACAGAACACACGAAAAAGTCCTCCGTGGCTCGTACAGAGCCGGGCAAATTGAACTTTATTCCCTTAATGAAAAGAGGGAACTGTGGATCTTGTCAGCCAGGGACAGGAGCCTTCACTGACCTTCGCCAAGCCCCACTTGGAGCCGGGGACTTCGGCGGGGAGGGGTGAGGTGGGGAGGAAAGTAAAGGTTGCTCCGGCTAGTGAAGACTGGAAGAAAGAGAGAGAATAGCGAGTGCGACTAGTCTTGGGGAGAGGCGACTTTTTTGTTTCTGATGCCCCCCTTTTTTTTTTTTTTAAGAGGATCACTACACTTTTCGGGAGCGCAGAATTGGGGATGGAGAGAGTCCTACTTTGAGGGGCTGGGGAAAAGCGCTTCCGACCGTTGTGAGTGTGGGGCACCGGCGTGGGCGACTGGACTGTTCAGCCCAAGCTGGGCGGGGCTCGGGTGCGCGTCCAGGTGGAGCCGCAGCCACCGGAGTCGGGACCCGGCCTGGCGTGCGGGTGGGCTGCGCACTGCCGGTGGCTCCGCCCTCCGAGAAGTTCCGGCCCGCTGGGGTCCGGCCCGCTGGGCCACTGGAGTGTGTGTTTCGTGCTTCATCGAGTCTGACAAGGTTTACTATCCACTTTTTCCCCCGTGCCTTTCTCTTTTTTATTTTATAGTAAATTATTTTATTTTGTGAAGCCATTGGGAGTTCTATCCGCGTAGCAAACCTTCCCTCACAAGGTGGATTTAAAGCGCTGCTGCAAATGGATGATTGCCTGGCCAAGTAATAGCCTCAGAAGCTCAGTGCAGTGGTTGATTTCTCCATCCCTGTTCAGGACACATAAACTTAGCTCTTGGCGACTGCCTTGTATCTGGCCCGTTGTCTTTTGTAGGTGCCTTTGCTTGGGAAAGTTGTTGAAACACCTGGGCACTAACAAATTGTCCCCACCCTGATGCAGATTGAGAGAGGCTCTGTTCCTTTATAGAGACTGGGGAAATGGAGAGGGCAGCTCTCTGCCGCCTGCTAAAATCTGGTAAAATTAGAATTGGCTCAGGTCTGAGATCCGGATCTTGAACTGAGCCCAGCACTTTTTCTTGTTACGGAGTTCCTTGATCTCTTTCACTGGAGGAGTCTTTTGCCCCCAGATAACAACGCAACACAAATAAAACCCAAACCGCAGCAACTGCTTTGGTTAAACTCATTTCTCATTTGGTAAAATAGGGAAAATGAAAGTAAGACACTCAGTTGAAATACTGTAATGGATGGAGGGGGGGGGGGAAATCAGGAGGGAGCTGTCCAAAATGTCAGCATTTTCACCATTTTTAAAAATCGTGAAGATTTCTGTTTTCTCAGTTCAGCTGTGCAAATTATTCTGAAGCACGTGAACAACTTACTGATAAACCAGTAGTATTTTATGTGTGAAGATGACTATATATATATGCCAATTACTTAACTATAAAGGAAATTTTAGCATTATTTTAGTTGAACTTTGCATTTGGGTTAGTGGAAAATTGGTAGCAAGCCTTTTCTGCTTAGTGATCATTACATCTAGTTTAAAGCCTAATTTTCGGATGCAAATAGTGTAACCTGAGGTGTTTACATGTCATTCAAAATTTACCTGACTCCAGGTAATTCTTTTAATAAGGTTTTGTAACCTTCAGGATGTAATTCAGATTATAAAACCCTCTAAGCAGTTGATTTTAGTTTTGTATTTTATATATGGAATGCTATGAGCTGCAAAAACTTTTCTCTATGGGTTGATATGGGAGATATAGGATTAAACTGTTATGTATTATTCATTAATAATTTTAAAATATACTTAAATTAGAAACAAGATGACTAAAAATAGAACATTTAAGGAAAACTTTAATACTTATTAAGGAAGGGATTATTTCGACATTGTTATTAAGTAATGCCTTGTAAATTCACTACATTATGTATTGGGGTAAGTCACAGCTCTTTAAATGGAAACAGAATATTTAAGGTATTTGAGGGAACTTCTATTTGAGGAAGTTTTTTTTTTCAAATAATTAAATATAGCTTGAACTCCAACAAGACAAAATGTAATCAAGTGCAGAGAAATGTGTCAATGGTTGTGAATATTAGGTTAAAGTGTTAGTAAGTTTGACCAAAGCCACAATGATATAAGATGTGGTGGTGGTGAAGTGGGAGGCACAGGCTTATAGGAGGTTATGGATAGTGCTAGCCACTTAGTTTATACATACTATTCAAGTTCTACCAGTTCTGCAGATTCACTTCAGTTTTGATTTGTTTTTCTGCAGGGTAGCCCATGAACTCAGACTGCCATATTTTCTAGATGGATTTTAGTAATACAAATAAATGTCAGCTTGTCAAGACTCTAGGTCACTAAATTCACTTTTTGACCTATGCCAGGTTTTAACTTTAAAACTGCATAACTTTTCTAAAAAGATCATGTTTGCTATATATAGCAATGTCATAAATACCATGTTCATAAGAAATAAAATATTTGATTTGTCAGGTCATCATGATTAGAGTTGCTATTTTGTTAGGCAATACAGTGGAGTTTGCTTTATTTAGTAGTAGTTTATTTTCACTTAAAGATGAAATTTTTTCCCCAAAAAGTGACACTTAGGGAATTACGAACTTCAATCTGTTCAGTATCAGAAATTCTCTGTTGCTGTCTCTTCTCTCTTTCTCACATACATACACACACCCATGCACTCATTTACACATATACATATAGGACATGTTCTAAGGAGGAATGTAATCTCTACATTTGAAATAAATTGATCAGCCCATTCTGGATTGCCAATGTATTTCATAAGGCAACTGTTTACCTACTTTATAATCTATTATAAATTAATTATGATACTGGCTTATTCAAGTAGATTTCAAGAATTTGTATTGTCTATCTACTGTGTGGCAAATGCTGTCCTAGTTGCTTTATTTGACTACGTCAGGAAGAAAAAACCTAATGAAGCTTCTATTTTATTTAGGTAAAGTAAATAATGAAAAAAAAAGCATAATAAGTAAATAATATGTACTGACTGTTTATCTCCTAGCAACCTATTTTTTCTAACCCCCCCCCACTATGGCCCAATCTTTTATCTTATCATTTGTCCAATTAATATACACCTACCCACACACCCACATTAATGTACTCAAATTAATCTAAGAACTGGAAAGTAATCATGTTAACAACGTAACACTTGCTATTCCTCAAGCTATATATGTGATATACATAGCATAAGATGAGGGTTAAGACATGAGAGGGGGCCCTCCCTGGTGGCGCAGCGGGTTAAGCACTGCACTGAGAAGCTAAGGCCCCTTCCGCATGAGTTCAATTCCCGCCTGCTCCGGAGGCAACCACATGGCGCGGCAGACCTCTCCTGGCCCGCCGGCTGCTCCCCTCAGCAGTGTACTTCGTGGATCTGCCTGTTCTGCTCCCTTCTCTGTCTCTGGTGAATCCTCTCACCCTCCGCATCTCTGGCTTGTACCCCAGTTCTGTATGAATAAATAAATAAATCTTTAAAAAAAAAAGACATGAGAGGGATTCAAGATGAAGAAATAATGAAATAACAGGCTATATGTTGTTTAATAAGTATTTGAAATCAAATTATAATATTTTTCAGAACAACTAAATTTAAAAACATCACTTTACATATTTGTTTCAAATTAATATTTTGAAACAAAATATTATGACTATTCAAGGTCAAGTCTAAGAAATTTCATTTCAAGAAGATGATTGAATATATACTAGTCAGGAAGCATCCAAAAGCCTAGTGTTTATTATTCTGCTTTTTCCACCTAAGAGTGGCATATTTATGTGCCTCTGGGAATGTTGATCAAAAGCTAAGGGCTTGAGATCAAAGTTTCCCTAAGTGCATACATCAGAAAAAAGACTTATGGTATGATCTTCTAATAAGATGTCAAAACTCTTTAAAACATTTTTTTGAAAGATTTATTTATTCATACAGAACCGGGATACAGGCCAGAGATGTGGAGTGTGAGAGGATTCACCAGGGACAGAGTGGGGAGCAGAACAGGAAGATTGACGAAGTACACTGGTGAGGGGAACAGCGGGATGGTCAGGAGAGGTCTGCCACGCCATTTGGGTCATCTCTGGGGAAGGCAGGGGTTGAACTCATGCAGAAGTGGCTTAAGCTTCTTAGTGCTGTGCTTTAACCCGCTGAGCCACCAGTGAGGGCCAACTCTTTAAAAATTTTTAAGTAAATTTGCTTTAATTTAAAATCAATTTGGCTATTGAGTACTAACAGTTATATATAAAACCTTATGATATTTTCCTACATTCTATTCTCTAATGTATAAAACAGTATGTAATTATGATTCCAATTTCAATTTCTGTGTTTTCCATTTTATTATTTTATTCAGGGTCTTTAGTTTACATCTCAAAAGAATTTTTTAACCCTTATGATAAGAATGAAACCTAGCTTAGCTTTCTGAAAATGGTTTACGAATATTATTTTTATGTTAGAAGAAAGTTGAAATTGTACTTTGAAGAAGTCATACCACATAATGAATTGATATCAGCTTATTCCCCATTTCTAACATATCAGAATATTAGTGCAGGACACACAATGCTGAATGGATTTCCA